GCCCACAAGCAATACCATTTTTAAATCAGCAAGTGGCATCATGATGTACTGTATATTCAAGAGGGCAAGATTGCAGTAACTTTGCTCCCCTTGTCTCACCACAGATGCTGCTGCTCATGTATGTGATTTGAATCTGAAACCCATAATAGAAGTTGACCATTTGCCAATCGTCTGGAGTTTTATAACAAATCACATAGGGAAATTTGCAATAAGCCTGCAGAATTACAGTCTACTCTGCAGTTATTTTTTTTATAATATAGATATGAATAATGGCCTAGGCCCTAGGAGTAAGTCCTACACTGCCCAAGTGTATTTCAAAAGCCCACAGTTTGATTAATTATGGTTAATTCAATGAGCTGGAATTGGATGGATATCCTAAGTGATTTTTGCTATTCTCACATTTCCACAAAGAACAATTTCATGGGAAAATAAGCACGCACCAGCAGTGCTAAAATGGCACAAATGCCACAGCTGTTTCTCTTTCAACTTGCAGTGACACAGCTCAAATTACAAAATGTCCATTTTGTTATCTGCTATAATAGAGTTCTGTAGGGCTTTCAGGGTAGAGAGGTCTTCCAATTGGCAAACAGAATTGGCTCACCCTACTATCTTCTGCCTGAACCTGGAGCTCTCCAGTAGATTTTATAGGCAACCTTGTCAACAAATTTTATTTTAATTATTCTAGTGAATAACCATTTCCTTAAAAACAAGTATACCCTGACATTTATCCCAGAGGCTTCTGTCTTGGAAAGAACATTTGCCTGAAAAACTATGGTACCATTGTAACTCTCAGTGGCAATCTATATGCATAAAAATGGCACCATAAAGGCCAAGAAACTCTAGCTTCTACCATCATTTGGATGATGACTTTGTAGTTTTTCTACTGATGGCTGGAGGAGATTCAGTTTGGCTCATGGGATACCCTATCCAATTTGAGCACTCCTTTGTCTGCAGGAATGAAGATGATCATACAGTCAGCTTTAAACACTTTGGTGGGATTGGAAATATAAACAGTGCAATATGGAAGTGCTCGTGACTAAAAATCAAAACATAATGGCACTGTATACAGCAAATATTGGAGTTCCCTATAACTTTTCACCAGGATCGGTAATAACTAAAAGTGGGCCATATATTAAAAAGGAAATAAAAGAGGCTGGCATCCTGGTATCTGTATTTAATTACAGTAACCTTCCCAACCTGGTGACTTCAAATGATAAATTTGCCAGAATTTCCACTTAACATAGTCATTGTGCATGCCAGTTAAGGTTTTAGCTGTTGAAGCTTGACATATCTAAAAAAGTACCAGGCTGAGGAAAACTGAAGGGATGGGTTCACACCATTGTGCCAAGTATGTTGTTCTACTGTGGTTTCTTGAACAAGCCATTGTGAACTTATTTATATATAAAATAAATATATAAAACATGGTTATAAACATACTAAATTAAAGCCAAAAAATGATTCTAAAGATTATTATGACAGGTGAACCCAACCATGATTTTCAAGGCAAGGTGGCAGATCCTTAATTTACACCTTACCAGCTGCTGAGATGTTTCCTGGGGTCCAATATCTGTAGGGTTTGCTGGGATGAAGGAAAAATGTGATTAATCTTCCATTTCTAATAGAAAATCCATCTAATACTTGGATTGGAATAATGTTCATTTTTACAGATGTTTGATTCAAAATGTCAATTTTATATCCAAAGACTAGTACAAGACTTTTTTAAAATCCATACAATGTTCTTGTCCTCTTTCCAATAGTTCTTCCCCCTCTGGCTAACCACCAAATGCATCTGCTGAGTCTTATTCAGAACTAGTATTTCACTGATTTAAGTCTGATCCATGCCAAGATTATCTGCAGGATTTATGTAGTATTTGACCTGACAATTCAGAAATGCAAAACAGCCATGAATAAAAGCTACATAAACATAACTTGGACATTTATTTCTCAACTGCTTATGAAAGGGAATGAATGAAAGAGAGTTTCCAATTACCTTCACCTAGCATCATTACCTGATCCTCCCACAGCAAAAATGTCATAAATTTATTACAACAAGGTAGTGCATACAGGAATAATAATGGTAGCTTTAATGTTACCATTTAAATAGCTGGACTAGGAACTTTCTGTAGTTCTTGCTTCCATGTAGAGATTGACTAGAAAACAGAGTGATTCAATAGTGCTGCAATATCAACCCAGCGCAGAATCCATTTCTCTAGTAGACATTAACATCTCCCGCTTCATTCTGTGTTTTCAGAATCATTCATGTGGAAGACACACTATTGATAGGTTTCCGATATATCCTGGGAGTAAGTCTCATTCCTGCTATCAATTCAGCTTTAAGACTAAATGGAACAGCTTTTTATAGCAACTAAGTTAAGAGCAGATGCTTTCAGGATGTTTACTAGACAATTCTACATGATTTGGTTCAATTGACTTTATCCAGCAAAGCAGCTTAAATATCTCAAAGACATATTATTGCCTTACAAATCTCCATATTTTCTTCTCACCAAGGGATTTGAATATGTTTCAACAGATTAAAACAATTTTGATTTCAGCAGTGGGTACCATATTTCTCAGAATAAAGAGCCCAAACTTTTTCCTTTTTTCTTCACAAGATGCTTTGGGAAAATCCTCATTTCTGAATCTAGGACAGTGATGGCAAACCTTTTAGAGACCGAGTGCCCAAACTGCAACCCAAAAGCCACTTATTTATCGCCAGGTGCCAGGTGGGCGTGGCCCACTGGGTGGGCGTGGCTGTGGTGGTCATGGCAGATTGGGTGGGTGTGGCCAAGGTGGGCGTGATCACCTTGATGTTGCTTGTGGGGAGAGATGCCTGTGGGGCCAGGCAAGGTTGGGGGAGATCCAGGGGGTCTCTGGCAGGTGGGGCAGTGGGCAGGAAGCTCGTCCTGCTGGGTGAGGCGAGGCAAGGCGAGGGTGCCATTGTCACAGGGCAAGGTGAGGCAGGGGCCGGGGCGGCTACTGCCTGATAGCATCAGGCCAGTGAGTGCATGGGTGCTGGGATGCATCTGGCCATGTGGGACCTCGGCAAGTTAGCGGACGGCTGGTTGAAGAGGGACAGTTGCCATCTCTGGGGCATGGTGCGCGTGCCCACAGAGAGGGTTCTGAGTGCCGCCTCTGGCACGTGTGCCATAGGTTCACCACCACTGATCTAGGACATTATTTTTAATAAGCATCAGCAATATTAAAATGTATGAACGTCAGCTCCCAGAATTCCCCATTCCCCATTTGGGGAATTCTGGGAATTGAAGTACACATGTTTAATATGTTGACTTGTTGAGTTTAAGAAACACTAATCTAAGGCAATCCAATTTGTATGTTGTTCAGTCTTCTGACAACATTCTTTACTTCAAAATCAGTCACATCTACCCTTTCTGGATTTTCACTGAGAACATTTTAAAAATTCAAAACTTTTGCAGCTAATAAAGTTAGTGTTCACTGTAGTTTTGGGTTCCTACCAATACCAGCTTCTGTTTCTCAGTGGGTAAAATCTGCAAATGTAAGGAATTCGTTAGATTATGTGATCACTCTCTAAAAGTGCAAAGCTTTGAGATCTTAAAGAATGTTGAGTAAAGAAAGTGTCAAACTCTCCCTTTTGAAAATATTTTAAGATTTTAAACACTACAAAATATACAAGAGAGAAAATTTGCTGTTTTGAAAGAGGCAATTTCATTTAAAAAAAAACCCTCCACACAATTAGTGTCAAAAGGTTAACACTCTATGGAAAGCCACAGTATTAAATGTGTCTGCAGACACTGAAAATAAAAGATCCCACAGCCATGGGATTATCATTTAAATAGCTTGAAGAAAACCTCTAGTGTCTCTAAGTTTTTTTAAAATGTATTAGATACAGCCACCCCAACTTTCTTGAACACAGAACAATGCAGTTTCAACCTTCTATCTTAACACAACCACCAACCCATATTTTCTAACCCAATGTTTCCTGAATTCAATGCCCTCCAGTTCACCTGGGGCAATCTCTCCGAAAACGCCAAGCCAGCACAGTCAACGGAGCTATAATTTCCAGCCATTTGGAAGTCAATCAGATTTGCGGAAGGCTAACCAGAACGCCACAGGGGATCACCAGATAATATCCTGTTTGCTTGAATGCTTTAATGGTGCAGTGGAACAGGAAAGATACCAAGCACATCTTAGCACCAGGGGATTGTTTTGGAAGACTGCCGCAGGCCCACAAAAGCAGAGCCCACCTTGAGAGTCCAGGCAATCAGAATCAGCTTTCCGCTTGTGGAAAGGCAGAGTCTAAACTGCTCTAAGCCATGGCTATTACTTTGGGCAGTCAGGCGACAACGACCTACAACTCTAGAGATGGGGAGGGGAAAGGCCACGAAGAATCCCAGTGTGCTGATCACTCCGGCTCCTCCCTACTTTAAAACCCATGATCGCTTCATCTTGGGTCCACGCGTTTCTATTTCTCTCCCCTTCGCCCCTTCTGCCTAGACGGCAACGCCGCTGCTTAGCTACGCTCCCCTCGCTTCCCCTCCCTCCTCTCCCCCCAATCCCCCGCCGCTCTGGTCCGGCTGACTCCTTCCAATCCGCTGGATCTGGCCTTTCTCCCGCTCCCCTCCTTCCACCCGATCTCCAGGTCTAGCGAGTCCCCGGGGGCGAAGTGTGGGAAGTGCGAGTTTCCGCTCCGATTGTCTGTCCCTGGCCGCCACCCCCGCCTGGCTTGCAGGCTTCGAGAGCAGCCGCTCAGACACAGACAGAAGGAGGTCGCGGGGAGCCAGAGCCCATCGCGAGGGCGCGACAGCGGGCGCCGCAGGAGCAGGCGACGGAGCGCTCGGACGGAGTCTGGAGCTGCGGAGCAAGGAGCCGTCGGCGCTGTGAGGGGAAAAGAGCACTGCTGGTGGCCTGTGTTGCACTCGGAGCTGGGTTCGGAACCGACCCACAGCCGCCGCCTACAAGGAGGGGATGCCGGAGAGACGCCGAGTGAACGAGGGAAGAAGCCCGCCGCTCGCCCTAGAGAGATGGAGCCACCGCCGCTGCTGGTCCCGCTCAGAGTCCTCCTGATGCAGCTGCTGGTCGCCTGCTCCCTCTTAGTTCTGCTTCCGCCGGCGGTGGCGCCCATCTGCCCGGAGCCATGCGACTGCCAGCAGCAGCAGCACGTCCTCTGCACCAATCGTGGGCTGCGGTCGGTGCCCAAGGCTGCCGAGCCGCAGGACATCCTCACCTATAGCCTGGGCGGCAATTTCATTGCAAATGTCTCGGCCTTGGACTTCCACCGCTTGGTGGCGCTGCAGCGCCTAGACCTGCAGTATAATAGGATCCGTTCGCTCCACCCGAAAGCCTTCGATCGCCTGGGGCGTCTGGAGGAGCTTTACCTGGGCAATAACCTCTTGGCTTCCTTGGCGCCGGGCACACTCCGACCACTGTCTAAACTGCGAGTCCTCTACATCAACGCTAACGAGATCAGTTATCTAAGCACAGTTTCTTTTGCCGGTCTAGGCAATCTTATCAAGCTGCGGCTGGATGGCAACTTGCTGGCTTCGCTGAGCGATGCCACCTTTTCAGGACTAACCAACCTGCTGTATTTGCATCTGGAGGCCAACCAGATCCGTTGGCTGAGCCGTAATGCCTTTGCTGGCCTTGGCAAGCTTCGCTTCCTTGATCTGTCTGGCAACCAGCAGAATTTGCTGCGCCATCCAGACACCTTCAGGTCTCTGCGCTTGCTTAGCACCCTCCTCCTCTCTGGGAATGACATGCAACAGCTAGGGAAAGGACTCTTCCAACATCTCTCCAACTTGGCCAGGTTGTCACTGAGTGGAAACCGCCTGACGTGGTTGGCAGTGGAGGCATTTGCTGGTCTGGGGTCTTTGAAAGAGTTGCGCTTGGAAGGGAACCTGCTAAGCCAACTGCCTGCCACCTTATTCCAGCCTCTGCAAAGCTTGGAGGTGTTGGATCTGAGTAATAACCTCCTAACTACTCTTCCTGCTGGCACCTTTGGTCCCCTAAATAAGTTGCGAGAGCTTAGTTTGCAGGGAAATGCCCTGGCCTCCCTGTCTGGAGACCTCTTTACCTCCAACCCAGCACTGTATCGCTTGGAATTGGATGGTAATCCCTGGAGCTGTGATTGTCACTTGCGAGGGCTGAAGCAGTGGCTGGCTTCCTGGCATTCCCAGGGTCGGCTCCTGACTGTGTTTGTCCAGTGCCAGAGGCCACCTGCCCTGGCTGGGAAATACCTGGATTACTTAGAGGATGTGCAACTCTTCTTGCTTTCTAATGGCTCTTGTTTGGAAGGGTTAACATCTGCAAGCCCTGGAGGCAACGGTAACTCAGGCTTGGGCTTGGATAAACAGAGCTCCCCATCTTCTGTTTCAACTGGGTTGCTAACGGGTTCCCAAAAGGTGGTCCCTGAAAAGGGAACTTGGAATGGGGAGACAGATCCAACCACCCCGTTCCCAAGCTTTTTTACCAGTACTAGGTCTCCCTCTGTACTTGGTGCTGCCTGGCCTCGGCGAGCAGGAAAACACCATTTGGTCTCCTCAGTGTCTAGTAGCCTTCCTCTGGTCACTGATCCATGTGATTTTAACAAATTGTTTCTGTACAACCTGACAGTGGATACTGTCACTGAGAGTGCAGTGACAGTGCGCTGGGGGGTCCGTGCACACCGCAGCCCTCGCTTGTTAGGGCCTGTGCGTTTCAGAGTCCTTTTTGATCGCTTTGGTGCTGCTATCAAGTTCCAGCGCTTTGTTTATCTCCCTGAATGGAATGAGCCGGTAGCCACTCTGCGAGAATTGCGTCCGGATACCCCATATCTGGTCTGTGTGGAGGGAGTAATGGGGGGCCGGGTCTGCCCAGTGGCACCACGGGACCATTGTGCAGGGCTGGTCACTTTGCCTGAAGAGGGCATGGGGGCATCAGTTGCTGCGATGGCTGGGGGGACCCAAAGCTTGGATCAGCAGCTTCTCACCCTTGTGCTACTGGCGGTCAATGCACTGCTACTCTTCCTGGCTTTGGCAGCCTGGGCTTCCCGCCTGGTGCGGAAGAAGGTCCTGGGGTGCCGTCAGAGAAAGGCGGCCTCACCAGTCCATGTTAGGCAGATGTATTCCACCCGCCGACCCCTCCGGTCCATGGGGACAGGCATCTCCACTGACTTTTCTGGCTTCCAGTCCCACCGTACACCGCGTAGTGCTGTTTGTGCCTTGCGTGAGGCTGACCTCATTGAATTCCCTTGTGAGCGCTTCATGGATAGTAGCACTGGAGGGAACAGCAGCGCCCTACGTGGAGAAGATAATTTGTTGCAACGGTTTGCAGACTAGAGATGGGGCTCTAAGCTAACTTGCCAGTATGTTATCATGAAGTGGCTGCTGGCATTATGATTTAGTGAAGTCTGTGGGTATGCAGACTCTGCAAAAGTGCCCTCCCCCAGTATTGCAAAATTACAACCCCCAGCAGTCTTAGTTAGCATGGCAAAGGGTGAAGGATGCAGGGAATTATAGTTCAGCAATAACCAGACTACCCCTGTTTCTGATCTTCCTATCTTATTTTTAGTTTGCAAAAATATGTGTATATAAAGACGGCTAATTAAAAATGGTGTAACTCTGGAGTGGATTATACTAGAAATAAAGATAGCAAGAATGGCTTTCTTGATTTTACTGATGGCTATGTTTACTTAGATGATTTGCAATCTTCTTTGGGATAAAATCTGTGATTCTCTAAAAACCAATTAGAATGGGAATCTACTACATTCTTAAATTGCCATTGTTGTGGCTAGGTGGGCATTGATCTTGATTTGTGAATTAAGTAGATCCTAATAGGAAAACAAATTTTAGTTGTCTAGTCATCAGTTGCTAGATAGATACAGAATCTGTAACAATTCCTAACTTGTGGATGTAACTCTATAGCTACTCAGTATTATAAGAAATGAACTGAAATAACTGGAATCAAACAAGAAAAAGTACAGAAAGCATTATAGAAATGTTTGAAGCTGTACAAATTTGGGGACATTTCAGGTTATATCGGTTTCTGGCTTTTGCACTATTTGTTTAAAACATATATAAGCAAGATCAAGCCAGAGGATTTTTTTTTTCAGTGTCACTTGCCAATATATAGATCTGCAAAAATCTACACAACCATAAGATGGCAGTCAAAAGATACAGAGATGTAGTTCTTTGCTGTCATTTCATGGCTGTCTGCATTTATGGAGACCAGATATAATAACATTAGCAATTGGTGCAAAAAAAAAAAAAGTGTTTCCTGCGTGAACACATCCTAGACAGTAGAGATATCATTTTCTTCAGACACAGAAAGTTCTATAAATGTGGACCCTAATGATTGGAGTCTTTTGCATGCTAGTTTTGACTGCGCTTTGCAAACACTGAGAGCAACAAGAGAGGAATCAGTATAATTATTGTTGCTTCTAAATAAAATGCTACTCAGAGAAGAGGCTGTTAAGTGTCACTCCCTTGATGGATAGCTGAGACTCTCCTGGATATAACTCAAAGTACAATTAAACTTTTGGTAGATGCCTGTTATGTTGGCAGTTAGCATCAATCATATTTCCTCAGTTGATGTCACCCTTGCCTAGAATATGTATTTAGGATGAGCCAGATTTGCTTCTTGCTTGTCAAAAAATGTGAACCCCAATTACTACTATGATGCAGGGAATATTCTTGAATTTGTGCTATTAGACACTGATTTTTAATTCTCATCAGCTCTTCCAAATTATAGTTTTGTATTAAAAATATTTTTTCTAGAAGCGCTTTGGAAACATGTTTAACTTGTGAGCTAAGAATGGTGCTTTTTTTATATTGACCAGGGCTTTCTTTTATTAAACGAATGTAAGAAGTTTTAGTGTATGTTTATATAACATGTTCAAAATAAATAAATAAAAAGATGAAGAAAGGGAGGAAGGAAGGAATGTTGATTTTACAAAATTCAGATGTTGACACTGCTAGGGAGAAGAATCCTAATCCAATTTGTTATAATTTGTTTAGAATTATTTTTACAGTGGTCTTGAATAAATACTTTTGGTACTTCTACAGCTTTGCCTATTTTTTAATCTTGTTATTCATAAATGATTTTAGATAAAGATACAGCAGCTTTCAGCTAAACTGGAGGAGGTAGATTATGTCGCTATCCTATGATCCCTGTGCAGCACTTTTCCCCCTCTCTGATATTACATAATAAGCCACTGAACCCTGCTAGATTGCTGGAGGGTTACTGCAGGAATTGGAAGAATTTTCTTATAGAAGGTACTTCTACCCCATTGGGGGGAATTCTCTCTTCTTCCTCTCTGTGCCTTAGCCCCACTGGACTGATGAATGCATTTTTTGATAAATGCAGAGGCTGCAAGGGGAAGAATGTATAGAGAAGCACACATTGTTATTTTCACGATAGAAATCCCACCCTGTCTCTAATGCCTTGGGAAGACTTGGAATACTGCACCCAGTTTTGGTTGCCCAATGTAGTAAAGATATTGAGATTCTAGAATGAGTACAGAGAAGAGCAATAAAGATGATTGGGGAACTGAAGGCCAAAACATATAAAGAAAGGTGGTTGGAATTGGGTCTAATTTAATGAAAAGAAAGACTAGGGATGACATGATAGCAGTGTTCCAATATGTGAGGGGCTGCCACGAAGACGAGTGAGCCAGCCTATTCTCCAAAACACTTGAGGGCAGGACAAGAAGCAATGGATGGAAACTAATCAAGGAGAGAAACAACCTAGAACTAAGGAGAAACTTCATGACAGTTAGAAAAATTAATCACTGGAACGACTTGCCTCCAGAAGTTGTGTATGCTCCAACACTGAAGTTTTTAAGAAGAGATTGGACAACCATTTGTCTGAAATAGTATAGGGTGTCATGCTTGACCAGGGGACGGCACTAGAAGATCTTCAAGATCCTTTCCAACTCTTATTCTGTTATTCTGTCGTATGGACAGACTCACCAGATTCATGCATCTTTAGTCATGATATTACACCACATATGCTATTTTGTGGATGTTAAACCCACCCATGAATGCCTATATGACATGCTGATCCAAAGTATTAGAATTCCATTTAAAATGGGAACAAAATAGATATTCAGTAATAACTCACTTTCAAGTTTATTTCTAATTTAAGTCTTAATTTGAAGAAATACAAGGAATTTAGTATTGCATTTCTTTACGAAATTAATGTATTGCAGTGTGCAATATTGCTCCAAGATAAGATATGATTTATTTATTAATCATATTTATTATTTGTATGCCAGCAGATTCCCTAAATTGAGCCCATAAAAATAGGATACATTTCAAACAGTCCATCTTAGAATCCAAAATGGTCTTTAAAGCCACAAAATGAACTACCAGACAAAAGGTAAAAATTCTAAATATTGGCAAATAATAGTCTCAAGTGACTAAAATTATTTTACTTAAATTGGCGTTGCTGTTAATCTAGGCAACATTTCAGTTTCAGTGTAGAGATGTGTGGATTTGTTCTGATAATATTCAGAAGTTCCAGGGAAGAGGTGAACAGGAACTAGACAGATTACTGTCTACATTTGGAATTAGTGAGTCCTAATTGAAATTTCAGATTTCCAGTTGTTAAATAAGATATTCTCCAGCTTCAAAATCAGATTGCTGAAATTAAATAAAATGAGAAATTGGAAGGAAGGGGATATAGAAAAACTATACCTGATATTAAAACACATTTATACTCAGAAATACTCTGAGTAGGTGTTAAGACTCTTGTTTTGTATTTGATTCCCATTTATGGATTTTCAAATTCTAAAAACTATATTGAAACTTGCTCTTCCCATCCAATGTAGTAAATATAAAGTTTGATATTGTGCTAATTAGATTATCTGATGTTAATACAACAGGATTTGTAAATTCCATGTGAGATAATGTTTGTTAGTCTTAAGTTCAGGGTATCTTGCAGAGGAATATCTTGGCTTCATAGAGCTTTCAAATATGAATGAGAACTCTACAAACAATAGATGCTCTCTTTACCCATTTTTCCCCCTAATCTGGCTACTCTGCAACCATATGAATAATATTTTTAATGGAAGTTACCCTTGCCCTGATCCTCTATAGTTGCTCTTAACCAAGGGAACGTAATACCCTTCACTTCATCATATTTGTGATCTTTTAACTTTTTTAAAAAAAAATATTGATTTTATCATAATTTACTTATCTGATTATTGTGATTCTACCAGAGTCATTGAGAATTGGGCAAGTTTGATAAATTATTATTATATTCCTGTTACTAACAAAATAGTCCAGTTATCAATGATGAAGAGAGGAAGTGGAAGGAATGTATCAGCGCAGCAAATTGCAACTTTCACAAATATGGTCCAGATTCTTGCCTCCTCCCTTGAATATAGTTCTGAACCTGAAATGTTGTGCAATGTTGTGTACAAAATTCTACTCCTTCATTATAATCAAATCTTGGGAAGTATCAATAGTCCTCAATAATGCTCCTGTTTAGCAACTCTTCAAAATTATAATAGCACTGAAAAAAATAACAATATGTCCATTTCTCACATTTATGATCATGGCAGTGTCCCACAGTCATGTGATTGCCATTTCTGCACTTCACAGCTGGTTTCCGACAGCCAGAATCAATGGAAAGCTGGCAGTAAAATCACATCTTGATCGCATGATGTCTCAATGAGTTTGCTCAATGACTGCAGTGGAAGTGAAATCATACATTCATCATAAACATGTGATATTTCACGTAATGACTGCATTGCTTATCAGTCTCAACTGTAGTGATTAAGTGAGTACTACCTGGACTGCCATAAATTTAACTGTACTTCTGTGAGGCAATATTCATAAGGTCGAAATCACTGCATTCCAGTCAAGATCAATCCTTTATTTGTTTTCTCTCCTAATGAAGGGCTTTTCAACCTGTGGTACTTTGCCATGTGGCAGGTGATACGCGACTGCTAGCCAAGTGTAGTAGGGGAGGGGAATAAGCCTAAGCAGCCTGAGGGAGAGACAGTTTGTCTGGGCTCAGCAGAAGCCCCAGGAGCCAGCAGGGCTCCAGCTGATTGGCTCTAGCTGATTGGCACTTCCAGAAGCAGCTCAGAGCTGGAGGTGAACTGAAGAAAAAGGGGGGGAAGAGAGGAGAGGCTATAAAAAGAGGTGGTTTGGGTGGGAGAAGGGAAAAAAGACAACAGGAAAGGTTTAATCCCTTTAAACAAATGAAATTAGTTTTACTCTCTTTAATTGAGTCTGTCTATGGCTTTTAGAAAGTTTTCTTTGAAAGTAAAGAGGCTGAATTTAAACTAAAGCTTTTCGCAATTGCCGGAGCCTTTCAGTCTAGGATTGCAACATTGTGACACGTGACATGCCTATGGCAGCTTAAAGAGAAAACCAAAACCAAAACCGGAGGCTTATTTTGTGAGCCTTTCTTACTTTGCACTTGATTCCTGTGTCTTTAAGGGTACAGGGAAGGGATTGGGGGGTGTGCTTTCTTACTACACTGTGGAAGAGCTCAGAAGGAAGAGAGGAAGAATGGCCAACCAGCTAGCTTAGGAGTCTACAAACTTAGCAACTTTAAGACCTGTGGACTTCAACTTCCAGAATTCCTCAACCAGCCATGAGGGCTGAGGAATTCTGGGAGTTGAAGTCCACAAGTCTTAAAAGTGCCAAGTTTGAAGACCCCTGAACTAGCTGGTAGTGATGCATATTAATAAACATGGATAAATTCATTTGTCAGTGCAAAGGGAAAGTGATTCAGCAAAGGAACAGCCACCGAAGAAATTAAAACTGATACTTTTTTACTTTTTTTCTACAGTTTGTAATATTTTATTACATTATAGAACAAAATACAAAAATACAAAAGCAAACAGTATGACACGGGAGGAAAAAGGGATGGAAAGTGAGGCGGAGAAGGGAAAAAGAACAGACTTCCTCTGTTGCAGTAGAGGGAAGCAGTAACATTGAACTTCAACTTTTTACTTTTCCATAATATTATAAACTAGCCATTTCTATAACAACAAATGAATCTAATCAGTAAAACCCAAAATCCCCCCTTTTTTTAAGTCATCAAGTTTTTGACACCTTGCTAAGCACTGGTGGTACTCAAATATTGTCATGTCCTAAAAGTGGTACAATCTGTGAAAAGGTTGAAAAGCCCTGTCCTAATGGACAGAATCTTGCCAGACTAAATCTATAAATTTCTATACATCATGAAAACTTCTAAGGAAAATGTGGCTACCCTGAATCTCTTCCCCCTCCCCAGTTCAGACTGTGTAGTCTCTTAATCTTGCCCTCTTTTTGGGAAAGCTTTTTTTTTTTGCCAAAACTCCCCCTTGTTGCTCATTCCAGCACAATAGCTTTGGTTATCTAATGCTAAAGTTTAAACATTGAGTATGTATGACCCTACCCAATCTGATGCCCTTCTATGTGTATTGGATTTAATATTCATGATCCTTAATCATCAGATGCCTACATATTTGTAGAGTAGCAGACATACGATGGATGGTCAACATGGAATCTTGCAATGTTCAAAACACCTATTTTCAAAAGAAAGGTGATAGCTGTTTGCAGATGCCAAGAATCCTTAAAGATTTCAGGAGTGTAAAATATTACAGATAAGCAATTTAATAAAGACTGAATATATTCACCATAGCACAAGTAATAATGGAAAAGGTGGGTTGTAATACGGAATAGAAGCATTCCATAGTAAGGATGATTCATGTGAATTAGTAACCTCAAAGTCTTTTATATTCACTGTTCTGCTGCATCAAAAATTAAATGGGAAAGTGCCATTTAAATGTGTACTTACGACTGCCTGGAAGGGAATTAATTCATGTTACTGTTAAGAGTATTTCTTTGAAATTAATAGTTCAGTTTGCTTATGTTTATATTTTTCATAAAGCAATTTCATTAGTGTAGTGCAAATGGACAAACAAAAAAAGATTATAAGTAGAACTGCACTAAGAACAGTCTCTTCAATGTGTGTCTGTGTCTGTGTTGTGTGTGTGTTTGTATATACCCAC